TTTCTACCCACCAGCAATGAGAAATCAGAAAGGGAAATTAGGGAAACAATTCCATTTACAACAGCATCTAAGAGAATAAAATAACCTAGGAATAAATCTAACCAGGGACATGAAGGACTCATACAATGAAAACTATAAAACACTGCTGAAAGAGATTAAAGAAGATTTAAATAAATGGAAAGATGTTTCATATTCATGGATTGGAAGACTTACTATTGTTAAGATGTCAATACTACCCAAAACGATCTATACAATCAAAATTACAACAGCCTTCTTTACAGAAGTAGAAAAACCAATCCTCAATCCTCAACTTTATATGGAATGGCAAGAGGCCCTGAATATCTAAACCATGTTAAAAGAGAAGAACAAAGTAGGAAGACTCACACCTCCTGATTTTAAAACATACTATATAGCTACAGTAATCAAAATAGCCTGGTACTGGTATAACAATAGACATATAGACCAATGGAATAGAATTGAGAGTCCAGAAATAAACCCACGGATGTATGGTCAACTGATTTTTGACAAAGGTGCTAAGTCCATTCTACGAGGAAAGAAGTCTCTCCAATAAATGATGCTGGGAAAACTGGATTTCCACTTGCAGAAAAATGAAGCAGGATCCATGCATCACACAATGCACAAAAACAAATTCAACCCCCAAGACTATGGCCCCTGGACACCCTTCTAACTCAGAACTGAAGCCACTCCTGAAGTTCACCGTTCAGCCAAAGATTGGATAGGCCTATCAAACACACAATAACACACGTGAGGAATGTGCTTCTTAGATCAATCAAGAATATGAGACCAAATGGCAACACTTGTCAAAAGCAAAGACGAAAAAGCAGGAAAGGATAAGAAAACTGGATGAATGGGAACAGGGAACCCAGGGTGGAAAAGGGGAGAGTGCTGACACATTGTAGGGATTGCAACCAATGTCACAAAATAATTTGTGTATAAATTTTTGAATGAGAAATTAATTTTCTCTGCATACTTTCACCTAAAGCACAAAAAAAATTTAAAAGAGTCAATGTTAAAAAAAAAAAAATCAAAACGGATTAACGATCATATGTGCAAACTAAAACCATAAAATTCTTGGAAGAACAAGCAAGGGCAATGTTGTCAGACCTAGCTTTCAACAATGGATTATCTAATATAATAACAAAAGCACAAACAGCAATAGACAAAATAAATAAATGGGATCTTATAAAAATTAAAAACTTTTATTCACCAAAAGAGTTTATGAAAAAAGACAAGCTACTATCTGGGAGAATATCTTTGGAAACCATATACCCAACAAGAATCTAATAACCAATATATATATATATAAAACTTGGACAACTTAACAACAAAAAGACTCCCAAACATGAAATGAGCAAAAGACTTGAATAGACATTTCACCAAAAAGTACATTAAAATGGCCACCAAACACATGAAAAGATGCTCAACGTCATTAGCCATCAGAGAGAAGAAAATCAAAACCACAGTGAGATACTATTTCACTCCCACTAGGATGGGTAAGATTATAAAAACAGAAAAAAACAAATGTTGGCAAGGATGTGGGGAAATTGGAACCCTCATCCATTGCCAGTAGGAATGCAAAATGCTACAGCCATTATGGAAAACCGTGTGGTGGTTCCTCAAAACACTAAAAAGAGAACTACCATACGACCCAGTAATTCCACTCCTAGGTATATAACCAAAAGACTTGAAAGCAGAGATTCAAAAAGAGACTTGTACACCAATGTTCACTGCAGCATTATTCACAATAGCCAGAAGGTGGAAACAACCTAAAAATGCCCATCAACAGATGAATGGATAAACAAAATGTTGTACCTACATACAATGGAATACTATTCAGCCAGTAGAAGTTAAGTCTTGATACGTGCTACAGTATGGATGGAGCTTGAAGACATTATGCTGAGTGAAATAAGCCAATCACAAAAGGACAAATACTGTATGACTTCGCTTATATAAAAGGACAAGAAAAGGCAAATGTGTAGAGACTAAAGTTTATTAGTAGTTACCAGGGGCAGAAGAGACAGGGAAAAGGAGGGGTTAATGATGATGGGAAAATCGCGTTGATTAAGGGTAGGGTTACACCGCCAATTATTGTAATTGCTGTCAAAAAGTTGTACACCTGTAAAAAGTTGAATTGGCAAAAGTTGTGTAATCAATATATTTACAACAACAACAGAAAAAAAAGTAGCCGCTGAAGCTGCTTATGTACAACCAAACACCTCACTGGATTTGGTTCCTTGGTTTGGAGGTTTAGGGTCATGGTTTCACAGGACTTCTCAGTTAACTGGCCTAATAACTTGTTTAGAGCTTCTGTTCTACCTCCTAGTTCATTGTGTAGTGCCTGGGGTCTTAAAAGCCTGCAAGCAGCCATCCAAGGCACAACAGTTGGTCCCAATTTACCTGGAGCAACAGAGGAAGAAGGAGAGTTAGGAATAGGAGGAGGATATGGAACGTGTGGCTATTTGCCTCCATGAACAACTGCCTCTTTTGCCATGAGACCAGAAGAACTGGATGGTGCCCGGCTACCATTACTAAACATTTTGATCAAAGATTCCACAAAAGGGGGAAAATGTAGGGTGGAATTTCAAATTCTCATGGACTCCTCACTTTCTGGAGCCATGGAAGGTGGATGACTCCCCGCAACTATTGCCCTGAAATAATCTTTAAACCTTAAACCAAAAATATCCCCTGAAATAATCTTAAAACTGAACAATAGCTTAACCAGTAAAGGTCTACCTTGAGCATTGTGCTATTCTAAAAACTATCTATATGGGATCAAATTGACAACAGTGACTCAAAAGCTTTGATAGGAAGCTTAGGGGGCGGTGAGTTTATGTTATTGGAGGAGGAACAATTCAGAAAAGGAGGGTGAAAATGTTGCATAACTCGAAGAATGTAATCAATATCACTGAATTGTACATGTAGAAACTGTTGAATTGGTGTATGTTTTGCAGTGTATATTCTCAACAAAAACAACAAAATAAAATTAAGGGAAAAAAAAAGGAATTGTGTTTGGGGGAGTGAGTTTTCTTCTGGAAGGAAGTGTTTTCAAGACTCGGTTCCCGACAGGCTGAGTGTGCCTTGGGAAGGACCATCCGTCATGGCTTGGCCTGGTCACTGACAACCTGAATGTGGAGATCACCCGCAGGATTTGGTAACAGCCCAGCCTCATGGGGGCCTTGTCTGCCACCCAGCCTGCATTGCAATGACCTCCATGGAGGGACTGGTGGTTTTGGGGTGCTAAGCCTGCCTCTCTCCCTTCCCAGGTCTCTCCTGCTGGGCTCCCCAGCCCCTGCAGCTCCCCCGCCCTTGCCTTCCAGATGGGGGATATGAACTGTGGAGGGGGAAGGGCACTCCCATCCCCCACATCCATCTCTGTAAGTTGCCCACGTGACCTGCGCTCACTGACCTTATAGGGACCCTTTCTCTTCCCCTCCCATTGCCATCTAGCCCCAAATGACTGCCTATTACTCCTAAATACTCTACAACCCCACAGAGCCAGCAGCCTCTCCCCAGCCCCATTTCTTGCCTTTCTAGATTCCAGTTAACTTCATAACAAGGCTTAGGAATCATTCAATGACTCCCTCTTTCCAATACATACATGCAAGTTTCTAAAGGACAGAACAGAACCCTGACAATTCAAGGCAAGCCATTTCTCCTGCCAGAAAAAGAAAAGATAAGCCCCTAACCTGCAGTTTAGGGGCACCCCTGCTGCAATGTCATTGTCTTTTAAATGTCCAAACCAAGGCCTGAATTTTGAACAGCGTGGGGTCTGACATTTACACAATCCATCAGGCACAACCCACCTCTGCACCACCCTCTTCCAAACAATGCACGCGTGCCCCATTACAGGACTCCTGCTGTGGTAGTGCTTCTACGCACCACGCTGGGGTTTGCAGGGTCTTGTTTAAGCACTGGTGGCGCACTGGTTAAGAGCTCATCTGCTAATCAAAAAGTCGGCAGTTTGAACGCACCAAGCTGTTCCTTGGAAACCCTAGAGGGCAGTTCTACCCTGTCCTATAGGGTCTCTGTGAGTTGGAATCCACTCGACGGCAATAGGTTTGGGGTGGATTGGGGTGGATTGGGTTGGGTTGGGTTTAAGTCCTGGGGGCAGCGTTTTAGGCTGCTGGTAGTGCAGGCTGCTCGCTTTTTCAGGCTTTGTTGTACAATGCAAACCTCATTTTAGTACGTGGTTTGGGGTCAGTAATAACTGAACTGAGCCTTGTTGGTGCGACGGTTAACATTTCGGCTGCTAACCAAAAGGCTGTTGGTTCGAACCCACCCGGCAACTCCGGAGAAGAAAGACCTGGCCATCTGTTTCTGTAAAGATTACAGCCTAGAAAATCCTATGAGGCAGTTCTGCTCTGTAACATGGAGTCGCTATAAGTCGGAATCGACTCGACAGCAGGCAACAACAATGACTGAACCAATCGGTGAAGCGTTGGGACAGCCCAACACAAAGTTTCTGGTCTGTGCCACCTGCCCCGTGTAAGTTGAGATGCACCCACGTGGAAGGGAGTAGAGGGGAGGAAGAGATTGAGCCCCAACAGAAAAGAGTGAACCCACAAGGGGTGGTACTGGGTCCCCTCTCCCCTCTGCCTGAGGACACGGAGTCATGCAATAAAAATGATCTTTTTCTTCACTGACCATTTCATGAATGCAATGAAATTCAGTCTTACTGCATTTGGGTGTGTGGGCATCTGTGTTTGGACCAGTTCATTTTCTAACTGGAGTGTGTGTGTGTGTGTGTGTGTGTGTGTGTGTGTGTGTGTGTGTGTGCACGCGCACAAGACAGTCATGCTGAGCCCATGAATATAGCACAAACAGCTGCATTTCTGTCCTTGCCCCAGTGTCCTTGGTGCCTGCTGCACAGCAGGAATGAAGCCGCCATTAAAACATAAAGTTCCAGGCAGACACCGCTGCAGACACATGCAAATGAACAGGCCAGCCCCAGGCACAGGGTTCCTGGGTGTCGCGCTTACCTTGTGGTTCTGATAGGAAGTTACCGCGATAAACGCCGTCTCAGGAAAGACGTGAGTGCAGAACGCTGTGTTTTTTGAGCCGAATCCATTATTTTCATCCGCTTTCACGATGTGTAGTCTGGGCTGGTATTTGTGCATGGAATTCAGAATAATCTAAAAATAATCACATAAAAGAAAATGAGATTGTCAGAAACTCAAAACTCCAACCCGAAAATTAGCCTTGTTACAGGCTTTCAAAAACAGCCAGCTTTTAAAATGTTCTACATTCTACTTTGGTGAGTAGCGTCTGGGGTCTTAAAAAGCCTGTGAGTAGCCATCTAAGATACCCACTGGTCTCACCCCTTCAGGAGCAAGGGAAAATGAAGAAAATTAAAGACACAAGGTAAAGATTAGGCCAAAGGACTAATGGACCACAACTACCATGGTCTCCACCAGACTGAGTCCAGTACAACTAGATAGTGCCCAGTTACCACCACTGACCGCTCTGACAGAGATCACAATAGAGGGTCCTGGACAGAGCTGGAGAAAAATGTCGAACAAAACTCTAACTTAAAAAAAAAAGACCAGACTTACTGGACTGATAGGGACTGGAGAAACCCCAAGAGTATGGCCCTTGGACACCCTTTTATCTCTGTAATGAAGTCACTCCCAAGGTTCACCTTTTAGCCTAAGATTAGACAGACCCACAGGACAAAACGGGACTAAAGGGGCACATCAGCCCAGGGACAAGGACTAGAAGGCAAGAGGGGACAGGAAAGCTGGTAACAGGGAACCCAAGGTCGAGAAGGGAGAGTACTGACATGTCATGGGGTTGTTAACCAATGTCATAAAACAATATATTTACTAACTGTTTAATAAGAAGCTAGTTTGTTCTGTAAACCTTCATCTCAAGGACAATTTAAAAAAAAAAAAAGCCAGCTTTTTTTCCCCCTCCTGTTTTGAAAAGGAGCCAGTGATTTCAATAAAAAGAAACATTTCAAAAATGACAATTTCCAACCAAAAAAGCCAGGGTAATATTCCAGGAAATCTACCCAAGGCACACACAGCAGTAAATCAAGAGTCTTAATAAAGTTTGCTTAATAAATTAACTCCCTGCATACAGCACTTCTCGCCTGACGGGAGGGAAACAAGTCTTTAAAGGAACCAGAGACCTCAGGAAACCTGGCCAGCGATTTTGGAATGGAAAGAAACAAACAAATAAATAAACATATAAATAACCCCCCCCCCCAAACTCTAAAGCTGCAAGGAAAGAGATCTGGCATTTGCAGAACTGGGCTAAAAAAAACCACGGTTTCTCTGCACAGCCTTTTCCTGGGGCTCCAAGTGCTCCAGCAGACTCAGATTCTTGGCCCTTTGTTTAGGGAATGCGCAAAAGGAAGTCCATGGAAAAAGAAGATATGGGTGCGAGGTGGGGGTAGAGGACTCAGCAAACTTGCTCTAGAATAATCTCTAAAGGTGGGGAGAGGTGGGGAGAAGGCATACACCCCCCCACCTCCACCATCAAAAGACACGGGGGGCTGGCTACCCTCAACTGAGGCTTCCTTTCTCCAAGTTTATCAACATTTCAGGACCCTCCACCGGAACTATATCGGAGCTGGAACCAGCCAGAATTGCTCCATCTGGTTTTGGGGGAATTTTCTTTCTCCTTTCTTTAGGGGTGTTTTCAGGGAAAGTGGCATCTTAGCTGCTGTAGTTGTACTGTTGTTATTACAACCACTATTATTATTATTAAGGAGTCGCTGGGTGGTGCAAACGTTTAAGCACTGGACTACTAGCCTTGACTACTAAGTAGCCTTGGCTACTAGCAGAAAGGTTGGCAGTTCGAATCCACCCAGAGTTGCCTCGGAAGACAGGCCTGGAGATCTGATGCACAAAGGTTACAGCCTTGAAAACTCTTTGGGGCAGTTCTACTCTGCACACAGAGGGTCACTATGAATCTAAATCGGCTGGACGGCAAGCAGCTAACAACAACTAGTATTTTTATATTATTAGGAACTCCAAGCCCCCACATCTTTGCTGAAACCAGGGCTATTCATAGGCAATGCAATCTTTACTAATAAAACTGGGCTTGTTGTTCTAATGACGTCTCGGTTTTGATAGCCCCAGCGGGCTGTTAACGCTAATGTTTATCCAAACGCTCCAACACATACCCACCGAATGGGCAAACAACCGCGTTTAACGGCCTGGAAATCTGGCCTGCTTTTTCCCCAGGACCCTGAAATGGAGCGATGGAGGTCGTCTCGGTGTCTTTCATTATTTGCATTGATGACCCGGGGGCAGGATTCTTGGGTCAACCCTTGAGACCGGCCGGGGGAGGGCGAGGGGAGCCGCGGCCGGGCCGGGGGAGGGGCGACAAGCTCTCGGCCCCCGGCTCCGGGACCCGGGGCTGCGCACTCTAATCTCCGGCCGCCGGGGCCCGGCCGCCTCCCTGGCCGATAGCGACGCCGGCCGGGGCGGCATGGCGACAGAGAGACGCAGCGGGGCCCCGCGGGCCGCTGCAGCCCCCGGCCGGCGCGGCCATCGCCCGGGCTTAGCCAAATTGCTTTGACGGCCAGGGACGATGTGGAGACATCGGCGCGAGGATCTAATGGCTCATAATTCCAGGAGGGAGGCTTCGAGTGAAAAGTTCGAGGTTTGGGGCCGCAATGCGTGGCGACTGGGTAGTCAGGTCAGCTCAGAGCACCTCACCCCCTTCAGGCTTGGAAGGGCCTGAAACCGGCAGGGATGGGAGCTCCCCAAATAGAGCTGGGTTAGGGGATGAGCACCTTCCCCAGGTGTCTTTCCTAGGGTCCCAGCCCAGCCCAACTCCAAAGGCACATCCAGAGCAGCGGCAGAGAGGCAGCTAGGAGCCGAAATGCGGCCAGAGGACGTCTCTTCCGGCCACTTACACCTAAGTTACAGGTTCAATACGGACAGGTACCCCACATGCCACCAGTCAGCCAATGCTTATGCAAGTCAGTGGTCCTTTCTGCACAGGGATGCACTGGCTAGAAGGACGCTGCTGGCAACTTGGTATAACAGGAAGGAGGCGCTGCATTTTCCCAGGAGCATCCTCTTGGCACCCTTGGGGTAGCACAAAAACAGAATGGGCCCTCTCCTCTCCCCCAGCTAAGCAGCAAGCAGCAGTTCAGCCTCCCGACCAGCCACAAGGTAAGACTGACAGACGCACCGATGAGGGCCACAAAGTCCTCCTCCCACCCCAGGCACCTTGGGCTCGGGGCATTGGCCCTGAGGCCCGGCTTTCACAGATTTCTTCCTTGTACTTTCACAAACCATCCCGCCTAGGGGTCAAATCCCTTGTCACCCAGCCCTCTCCTTTCCCTAATTTGGGGGCTGTTGCTTCTCTCTGGAAAGACCTGACAAGACAGGGAATCACTTCTGGAATCAGATTTAGTCTCAAATCCCTGTTCCCACCTACACACTGTATGACCTTGGGCAAGTCCCCTTTCCTGCCCCATTTACAAGGGCTGCGTGCTTTTGTCCCCACCCTGGGCTGATGCAAGGAGCAAATGCAAAGACGAATGGTCCTACATGGATAACGGGATCTTCAAGCTAAAGAGGTTTTACACATTGAATTCAAGGAGACAGTGCTCTGTCCTGATAATCAATTTTCTTCAAGAAAGTGATTTAGGAACATTTTCCAAAAATCAAACCAGCTAATTGCTGTTGACGAGCTAGCCCTCAACATTAAAATTTTTGGGAGGGTGTGAGGGGAGGCAGGCAAGATGGGACCCTAAAAGCTGTACATTCTCTCCCCTTGGGCGGGGGCTGCACACTTATCCTCACCCCCACACCAAGATGCACGCAGTTCCTGGGAGCGTCTCTCTTGAGGCCAATCCACACTCCAGGTTTGGGGCCCTGGTCCAGGTTTGCCTACTCTGGGCATGGTGGTGGGATGGGGGAGGCTGGAAGTTGGAGAAAATAGTATCAAGCTAAGAGGGGGCACAGGGAACAGAGTTCTTTTTGCATGGGTTGATGTAAAAGAGGGGACAGGTGACCTGGGGTCTCCCTCACAGCTGGTGCATCCCAATATTAAGGCAGGGTAGGAAGAAGGTAGGGAAGGCCTGTGACTCCCTCCTGGCGCAGCCTCTGTGTGGAGGCTATGATGACCATTTGTTGGCCTAGAGGGTCTGTGTTTTCTGTAGGGTTGAAAAGAGCCCTCCACCCCTAATCACAGATAGGGCTGGAGTGCAGACCGGATTTACAGGTCCCAGCATCTGACTGGAGTGGGCAGCCCAAGTCACCCCACGAGCCTCCCCCCTCAGCAGAGGGTCGGGGTGCTGGTAGCAGGGACACAGGCTGAGCCCCAGACCAGGAGAACCAAGTACCCTATCTCCAGCCACCAGAGGAACAGTGGATCACAGGGAGGATTGCCAAGGGACAGGCGTCTGAGTGGGAGAGAGGTGGAGACAGGGAGGGAGAAGGAAGCAGTAAGAAGAAAAAGTGAAGAGAAACCTGAATTCAAAGGTGAGAGGAATAAGAGAAAAAGGAAAGACAGAATTGAGAAAGGAGAGAGAAAAGGGAAAAGAAAGGAAGGCTAGATCAAGAAGGCAGAGAGAGAAAGAGACCAAGGCAGGGAAATGGAGCAAGGAAAAAGAGAAGGGCGGGCTCAAGGAACAAAGAGGAAAAAGAAAACATGGGAGAAGAAGGGAGAGGAAGAGGAGGCAGGGTCTAGAGAGAGAAGGCGTGGACCCGGCACCTGGGGAGGGCCATGCGCGGTACTTACGTGCCCAAACGGGTCCAGGTGGTTGTTGGTGAGTTTGAGTTTCTGGAAGGAGACAAGCTGCCGCATCCAATGTGCCCCGGTGGCCGGCGAGTCCGGGTGCACGTAGAGGCGGCCGGGCATGGCGGGCTCCGCTTTGCCGGTCACAGACCTAGACCAAGGAGAGGTGTGACCCGCCAGCCAGAGCAACCCAGAGTTAGGGTACCGCGGTGCGGCCGGCGACGGCTGCCGAGTACCGGCCGAGAATGATCTGGAAATGGCCTGACCGGGGGTCTCCTTCGGCATGTGCCTCCAGCAAATCCCAAGGGCCCTGTGGCGCCTGGCGCCGGTGTCCAAGCACCCCGCACCTGGTGCTTTTTTCTTCCACCAAATTCTTTCCCCCGGAAACCCTGGTGGCGTAGTGGTTAAGAGCTACGGCTGGTAACCAAAAGATTGGCAGTTCGAATCCAACAGGCTCTCCTTGGAAACTCTTTGGGGCAGTTCTACTGTCTCCTATAGGATCGCTATGAGTCGGAATCGACTGGACGGCAACAGGTTTGGGTTTTGGTTTAAGTCTTCCCCCAGCGCCAGGGGCGCGGCGGGGCCTCGCAGTTTCTAGCTGCATAGGAACAACCGGCGGGTTCCGGAACCCTGGTCGGGCTGAAAGTCTCCGAAAACTCCTTTAGGGCTTTCAAAGGGGACGTCTGCACTCCTGCAGCCACAAGAGCAATCTAATCGCTGAATGGGCCCCTCTCCTCTCTTGCCTGTTTAATTTAAATTCCACGGGCGATTTTGCAATTTCATAAAAAGGCGTCTTCAAAGTACGTAACTCATAAAAAAATAACTATAAACGGCTTTATGCCCTCAGAAATACCTCCAGCGCTTGGTAACAATACTCTTTTTTTTAAAACTCACAACCTGTAGGTGCAGCAATACGTGTAAGCACCTCACTTCCTCTGAGCCTCCGTTTTTTTCAATGGAAGCTAACGGCTGTTGTTCCTTCCTCTCGGAGTTGTCAGGAGGATGCAATAGATAGGCAGGCAAGGCCTCTAGCACACACTAGAAGCTCAAAACATGTTTACTGGTTGCATGAAAGGGGGTAGTTTGGTTTCCACCTTGCTCCCTGCCCTTCCCACCTGCCACTGGGGGCCTACCATTTATTATCTGCGAACTTGTATCTGTGGTCGTCCGCGGGAACAATGTCCATGAGGAGAATGTACTTCGTTTTGGGGTTAAGGCCAGTCACCTTCACTTTGTAGCTGGGAAACATCCGCCTAGCGAAGAGGGGGAGGGAAAGGGAGAAAGATGGAGAGACAGAGGGAGATTGATTATGTTAATGTCAATATTCTGAGAAGTGTGTCCATAAATTTTAATGAAAGAGGCGATTCTCTGCGGAACTTGGAAGAGAAACTGGTCCCCGCTCCACTGCTGTCAAGATCCATCCCGGGTTTCCCTTGAAGTTAAGGGCAGAAGAAGACAAAAGGATGAGAAAGAACAAGGCAGGCAAACGGGTGTATCTGGGAGGAAAATAGAAACCAGGAGGCAAGCGCTTTGAGAGAACTGATTTTGAAGAAGGCCTCACTCTTGCTCTTTTCAGAGCCAGGCACCTACTTTTTTTTTGCGGGGGGGGGGGCTTATTAGGTACAAAGCAGCCTCCTCGGCCCCGCCAGGTGTTTTTGTCCTTCCAGCGCTGCGGTGTCACGTGGACACCAAGATGTGCGCTCCCTGAGGACGCACGCGAGGCTTCAGATGCGTGGGTGCGCACCCGCCTCCTGTCCTGGCTTTGGTCCTCCAGAGGTGGGGGACCTGTGCTTCCAGGTACAGCTCAGTGGCTGACCTCTGCCAGGAGTCTCAAGCATAAGTTTCTTTCTAAATGCCCCAACTTCTCCAAGGAGCTTGGCACTCTTCCTTGGAGAGTTTAAACTCTTTGGCCCTCAGCAAAGGATTTGGTTTCAGAAAGACCTGGGCCCTAAACTAGGACCCGGTCCTTAGAAAGCTTGCCCGCGCAGCGGAACTGCGCTGCATCCGCGCCCTGTCCGCGCACAGGCGCCTCCAAATTCCCATCCCGCCTCTAGGCGGGCGCCCCAGAAAGCAAGGCTCCGCAAGGCTGGCCTGCGGCAGAAGGACAGACAGGTCTTGACTCACTCCGATGGCGGGAAGGGGTGCGTGGAGGCCTCTCCCCTCAAGCCACGGAACCCAAGCCTTACAGTGTTTATCTGCCAGGCGCGCCTGGAGGCGGAGGCGCAGGCGGCTTCGCAGGCCTTTTATAGTTAAATCCTCTCGGCTCAGGCTTGGGGGGAGCGAGGAGGAAGCACCAGCCTTGTCTTTCCTTCCTCGGCGAAGGGGGAAGAAGACCTCAATTCATTGGTGTAAACACACGCGCCTCCTAGCTCATCAGGCCTTGGGGCGGGGGAACGGGTGGGGGGAGCAGACATTGTTTAATTTCGAATAATAATAAATGTCACTGTTTCCAGTTTACTGCAGGAGCCTTCGGCTGAGACCAGCGGGCGTCTGGTGAGGCGGCTCCACCCTCCCCCTTCACACACCCGGTGGCTTGGGCACACACCCGGTGGCTTGGGCCTACCGGCCTTTCTCCCGAGCTTCAAACGCCTGCTCCGAGCGGACTCAGGGTTCTCAGCCTTTCGGGCTGAGGACCAGATAGGACAAGTAGGGATGTGGCGAGGCTGTCCCCAGGCCTGAGTGCACACGCACGCGCACACTCGCACACACAATTACAGAGCGGCACGACTCGGCCACCCCGCCCCCATCGCTCTAGCGTTTCGAGCTAAGACTCTTCGAGCTTTTAAGAGGAACTCTGGGGTGAGTGTCTTGGCGAAGCTGCCGTGTTTATCGGTGTCTGTATATAGAGCCCGGCCGAGCCCCGGTTCAGTTTCAAAGGCTTCGCCTGCTTTCTATAAACAATGAAAGAGGTAGCGAATACATTCAACGATTCGGAATTTGGCCATCGGGTGGGACCCTGGAACCGCTCCAAGGTCACGGAGGGTGGGGGGCGGCGGCAAAGAATCAAGTCGGATACCCGCTGAAACCCAAAGCCGGTGGCATCTCCAGGTCTTCTCTGTACCTCTGGATTTTCCCTTTCTCCTCCCCCCACTCCCTTCTCTCTTTCTCTCATTACTAATCCGTCCAGATAGCGTGGCCTCCCGAGCTCTTTATTCTTCCTATATACGAGGTGGAAGAAATGCCCAGTTTCCGGAGTTGAGCGTTTGGTATTTACCCCACCTGCTTGAGATCAATGGAGAACTCTCCTGTGCCTTTCTAAGGAGAAATGGGTCAAACAAAATGTTCTCTCCCCCTCCCTACTCGGTTCTCTTCTTTCTCTCTGTTTCCTCTCCTTTCCCCCTTCTGCTTTGCTTTTCGCACCCATCCACCTTCATTTTCTCATTTTCGTCTCTCCCACAGTGTCCCTGTGCCCCCTCCACGGAAGTGACCACCTCCACGGAAGTGACCTCACCTTCCAGCCTTGGTTATTATCATTTCTGTGCCCACTTCATGGAATTTCAGCCACAGCTCTCGTTCGTGGAGAAATACCTTGATCCCTTCCATGCCCTGTAGGGAGGACAGAAAAGTCAGACCCAGACAAAGGGGGACAGCCGAGGGCCTTCCCTCCCGGGTGGGAGAGCCCCAATCTCCCTGAAAACACAGATTGCTGCTCCTTCCTCCCTTTGGAGTGGTGTGGACTGGAAGGCTGCTAACTGGCCCAGCCCTGCAAGGCAAGGCCAGAGGCAGCCTCTGCCTCAGAGTCCCTGTGTCTGCTCAGCCTGGGAGGAGGTCTGCAACAACTACTTGATGTCCCAGGGGTACTGTCCTCCTAAGCCACCCACAGAATGCTAGATTGTAATTCCCTCCATCATCCAGGGTGCTCTGGAATGCCCATGGGGAAGATGGGGCTGAGAAAAACACCAGGCCAGTTTCAATTCTCTTTAGTTGAGAAGCAGGGGGTAAAAAAAAAATCTCCATCTAGAAAAACACTCACTCAGGATATCTTATGTAGACATCCAGATGCCCTTACAGATGTGCAAATACTGTATACACGCTTGTTCATTCACCACAGTGTGTGCAAATATGAGCATCTGTGAAATCTTTTAAAAAATTAAAAATATTTATATACCGTAATAGGGACTTGCAGCCCAGTACAAAATTAATTCTCAATAGTTATCCTAAAAAGCCTTCATGCCCTCCTCTATCCAGCTCCATTCACTCCGAGTTGTTTTGCTTATGGGGCACTAGGGGAAGCCATTTAACTATTCCACTTTCAAATAAAAGTTATTTTACAAAACCGATGCACAAAACATTATATACAACGTCTCCGTTTTGAAATAGTGTCTAACAGCCTAATAAGTGGATTTACTTTTCCTTTTTAAAAAAAACTGTACGTTTCCCAAATGTGTGCCCACGCTCTCTCAGCTTCTATACAAATATACACACATTTTCCTGAGGCCTGAAGGGCAAAGAGAGAGAACAGGAAACAGCCAGGAAGGACATCGTATTTCCCACCAATGAAAGTTTTTCGCTATATCCAAGTACCTCTTCTGGTCAATTCATCCCACTTAGCGCCATCTGACACCCTATCTAAAAATCATCAGCGTCTACAAGGGCACCCCTGAGCTCCAAGTATGTGGGAGTTGAGGGGGCAGAGTGTGCGGGAGGCTCCACGCTCTCCTCCGCCCAGCGCCCAGCCAGGCGAGCCCGCGGCTCATCGGTCCTCCCCACGCAGCCCCGCGCGCTCCCAGCCGCCGGGGAGGATGTGCCAGCCGGCTAGGCCCCAACTGCAAGACAAATGGTGCGCCGCACAGGGCTGGGCCACGGCGCGGAGGAGGCGGGTGCAGGCGAAGGCTACGAAAGATCTGAAGAGGGGTCAAACCATCGCTCACGCCGACCTGAAGCGGCCGTTGACCCGGCCCTTAATGAGCTGCTCAGGGCCGAGTCTACACCGAGAGCCGCAGGAAGGGAATTACCCGGGGGATTGTTAGCGAGCCCCAAATAGCCGGATAATTGAGGTTTCTCTAAAAAAATTAAATGTCTCTCCCAAATCCCCTTGCCATCAGAATAATTGTTACAATAAGGTAGATTTGGTATTGGTTTTGGTAAGGGAGGGCGGAGAACAGTGGGCTTGGGTGGGTATAAAAATAAAAGGAGATAATAATAGGCCAGGAGCTTCCTCCCCCACCCCTCAGGAGGGGCTGCGCTCTGCCACAGGCTTAGGTATCTGCAGAAGGAAACCAAGGCGCAAGGTCTTCTTACCTGCTGGGTGAAGGCGGCCTGCGGGGACGACGGGGACTTGCTGGGGGCCCCTAGCGCGCTCTCAGGTTTTGAGTCACAGGGCAAGTCCTTTGAATCTGGCTCCAGAGGTGTGTGCGCCAGGCCAAAGCCCTCGTCTGCGTCGGCCATAGTGCGCCCGGGGCCCTGTGCCCGCACCGAGTTCTGCTCTGAGGGCAGGGAGAAGAGAGACAGAGAAAGGGTTGGAGAGCTCGGTTCTAGCGACCGGAGAGAGCGGTTTGGCCCCGGCTTACCAGCGACCAGTACCTCCGTCCTCTGCTAAAGGAGGCTGAGGAAGGGCCTGTTACTATTATCATTACTACTATTTTATGACCACGCACAACCTTTTGCAAAAGCCCCGCGTCAGACCCGGAGGAGGCAAGGCCCGCATCGCTGCTGCGCAGGCTCCCGGTGATAAGCGAGCTGCCCGTCAAATATGTCTGGACTTCTGAAAGAGCCAGTAAAGATAAGGCGTCGGTATTTTTGGAAACCACTGGGTACGAACCAAACACAACACAAAACAAAAACCCAATGTCCTTTGGAGATTTTTTTTTCTTCTTCTTCGAATTACAGGAGGCCATCGGAGCTCGCTTTATTAAACCCGGCTAGAGGAGTGTTTTTCTGTAGGAGGCTAAATGCCTGAAATAACCCGCCTCTTGCAAAACCAAAAACGTACAGGGGAAAGATGTGTGGTGTCGGAGACCCGGTGCAAAAGAGAATGAGCGTTCATCGTTCATCAGTTACAGGCCTTAAAGTTAAGTCCTTTAAAATTAAAAGCCCTCCCTTTCCCCCAACCTTAAGCAAGACAGGTTAAAAATTAAAATCAGCCAAACAGAAGGCCGGCGAGGAAATGAAAACGTCCTTGCAGAAGATCGGCAGGAGACGCGCGTCTGGCCCGCGCTCTGCAGCCGGCTGGGGCTGCGCGTTCTCTCTGCTTCCTAGGCTAAGTCTGGGGCGGGCATTTTGTGGAGCAGCCAGGCGCGGGGGAGCTTCTCGGAGTTTCGGCCTGGCCTGCTTCACTGGGGCTGCAGAGCCCAAGCTAGGGGGTGGTAGGAGAAAATCGGGTCTCAGATAAATGCTACCTGGATCCGATGCAACGCGTAGAACTGCCGGGGTTTGCGGTCACCCGGAGTTGGAATACGCCAAATAACAGCTACAGAAATGTTTAAGCCTGGATGAGCTTGCCTTGTCTTTGATCTCCTTCCAATCTCCTCCACGTTTCCAAGTAGGGATTTTCCCTACTTAAACCCCGGGAAGACTGGGAACAGACTGCAAGGGAAGGTCCCCCAAATCTTAGCGGTCGCCTAAGAGAAAGGCTGGATCCCGCCCCCCGATTCTGGAGACCCAGAAATGGGGCCAAGGAGAAGGCCATCTTCTGCGGCCCGAGAGTCAGGCAGCTTGCCTCACCTCGACTTGGGGCTTGGGGAGGCGGTGACCAGAGCCCCGCACTCTGTTGGCCAAAAAAAAAAAAAGCGGGGGCTAGCGCCCCCACATGAGCTCCCATTCACTGCTGGCCCCAGGGAAACTCCCACCCCGCGCCCTTGCCAGAATCCCGGGGAGCTCGGGACTGGCGAGGGCGAAATAGATGCGGGTGACAGAACCAGGCCGCGCGTTCTACAAACCTCCACTCTGCTCGCCCAACCGCGGCCGCCTCCCGGCTCCACGCGCCGTGGAGCTCCGGGCCGCCCGAAAGCTCTGCCAGCCAGGCACCCCCAGAATCCAGGACCAGGCTGGAGTACCCCCATTCGCGCCTCCCGCAGCCGACCCGGCGGGCGGGTTCCATCCCGAGCCTCCCGCGCCAGCTGCGGGGCGGGTTACCTCACTCGGTGAAGACGGCGCATTCACCGCATCCACGCTTGCTCCTAGCAGGGAAGCCGGCGGCGAGGCGGGGGCGCGGGCATGGTGGCTGCCGGGTTATGCGGGGGACTGCTGGCCGGGGCTAGCGGCTACTGCTGCGTACAAAGGAACACCCACAGCTGGAGCCTCCGCGGCCACTGCCCACCTCCAACACACCTCCTCTGCGCTCGCGCTCCCTAAATACTTCCAAGTGGTCAGGCGCCAGAAAGGCTCCAAAGGACGCAAAACAGCAGCCTCCGGGACACCCGCAACGGCAGAATCTCAGTGACCCCCTCCTCACTTGCACGCCCAGCGAGGGAAAGTTGGGAGACGGTAGGAAGCGGTGGGAATGGTCGAAGTCGTTTCTGAACGCCGCTTTCAGGGTTAAAGTTCTGGAATCCGAGATCGCGGTAAGAGGCTCTCTCTCTCTCACACACACACGCACTCTCTCTCTCTTTCTCTCTCTCTGTCTCTGTCTCTCTCTCTCTGTCTCTGTCTCTCTCTCTCTCTCTCTCTCTCTCTCTCTCTCGCTCTCTGAGCAATACAAGCGGACTCAGCTGAGCGCAGTGACGCTGGGCTGCCTAATGTTTGCAAAGTACTGAAATCGCCTGTACAACTAGCTCGGAGCTCGGACTGCACGCAGCCTCTCTCTCATTTCTCTCTTCTTCCCTCCCCCCCCCCCCCCCCGCCCCGTTCCCACCAGATTTCCCTAACACTCAAACCACAACGCGACTCAAAAACCCAGACCTCAAGATCACCCCCTCCTGCCCACCCCCTTCCCCACCTCCATCCATCTCCGCTTCTCGGAGCGCGCTGTGGCTGCAAAAAATTCTGCACAAATCATCGCAAACCCGGTCGGCTTCTGCCGGGGAAGTGATCTCGGTGACGCGGGCTGTGCAGTAAGCGGAGTCTGAACGCACTACGTGTACACGCACACCACATACATACATACACACACACACACACACACACACACACAGTGCGCCTCGGCTGCCTCGCCCGCATTCTCTCTGCAGCGCTGACCTCCCGGCGGAGAGCAGCGTGACCCTGCCTGGCGGAGCCGCGCCACCCTGACCGGCGCTGGCCGCCCTGACATCTCCCTCCTCCCCACTCATCACCCCGACTCTCAGCGACTCTGGGGTGAAGGCGGGGTGAAGGTGCGTTTGGATGGAGGCCTGAGATCAAAGACGCCCAGAAATCGCGGTGCGCCCTCCCCAACCCTCCCCCGTGTCCGGCCACCAGACCTCCTGGGTTCGAGCTGTATACAAGGCAGTGCCTGAATATATGAAAATAACCAAACAGTCATTGGGGGCTGCCTGGAGTTTTCATCTCCACTTGTCTCCTCTCCCCGCCCTCCCCCTCCCTGAAACGTATTTTGAGGGTCGAGTTGAAGAGGTCAATAGAAGCGTAAACACACGATCTGTAGCGTCTCCGCCAGAGCAGAGCCAGACTCGAGCGCCACGTATTGGGGATCCGGGTTGGAATAAATGTCAGGGGTCCCATTCTGTGGCCCACCCTTGCCTCCTGTACCCCATCTCCCGGTTCCTTTCCAGGGCCCTTTAGGGACTCTGACCTGCAGACCAACATCTGGGTAGAGGGATGGAGGGAGAGAAATGCCCCCGAGATCAGCAGCCGCCTCCTATAACCCTGTGGCCGCTCCCGCTAAAATCGCAGGCCAGGCCTGGCACATTGCGGCAGAATTCCAAAGTAGATTGTCCAACACTGAACAGTGGCACAACCTGGGAGAAACCCAGCCAGCGTTTGGCTACAGTTTTCCCCCACTCCACCCTCCAGGTTTGTTTTCCAACAGACCTTTGCCAAGGCAGTTTATTTATTCGGAGAGACACCCTCACCCTTCTACAATGTCAGCTCGGCGGCCTTTGGGCTTGCTATCAATGCAGAGTCCGGCCTGCAACAGAAAACAAACGTGGCTTCGGGACCCTGGATCCGGGCGTATATGGTGCAGGGAGGGAAAATCTACAAAAATCTCTCCAATCCCTTTAAATTCTCAGAGATTTGCGGATAAAATAAATTCCCATAAATAATCTTCAGCCCCTCCCGAGAGGGAAAAGTGGACTCCTCCAAGTAATTGTCCAGCCAGTTTCGCTTAGTTGTTGAAGCGCGCACGGTGCGGACTGGTGTCGGCCACCAAGCGCAATCGGAATTTTTAAACCTCGCGGGTTTAAAACCACTCTTGCCAGTTGACAAGCAAGGACAAAACGCGAGAGAATACATACATTATTTCGATCCTGAGAAGCAGCAACCAGGACGGGAAATTCAGGAGGGCCGAGTTGGGGCGGCAATCAAGGGCCACAGCAAGCGAAGTGCGGAGAGAAAACCCCCTCCCTTAGCTCGCCAGGCGACACTCACCTCCAAAAAAGCCCACCTCTTCTTTCCAGAGCAGAAGCCAAGAGTGGCACCTCGCTGGGGAGGGGGGTGTTCAGGTGAAGAGATTGGAAAGGAACCCCTTAAAAAGATCCTTTTTGGGCCAGGCCTCTTTCCAGGATCTGTCAAGACAAGCCCGTACCTCCCAGCTGGAAGTTGGTTTGTGGTCTCCGACAAATTAAATATTACTGTTTATTACCAGGCATACCCCAATAAAATAAAGAGTCAACCAGGCGATACGGACTATCTCACCAGCCGCTGCACCTATAGGACTTGGAGACGTCACGAGTCACGCAACTGGCCCGCGCACTGTCTTGCTCGACTGGGGGGCAGCGGCGGGAGGTTCACGTCTCTGCGTGTTGCCTATCAGTCCCGGGTAAGCACATCGACAAGTCCCGGACGCCTCGGCCCAGGAATAAATAAAGAAATAAACAAACCCTGCGCTCTCCGGGGAAATGGGGGTGGCGAATATCAGACACTAACAGACCCAAGATCAATTTTCTTAGGGAGGGAGGGGGAGGGGACTTTGGGGGGAGGGGAGGTAGAAGCCCACCTCAGCCGTCGATTGGGAAGAAATCAAGTTTTTGTGTTTTTTTTTCCCCTGGAGAAACGAGGTCTCTTGCAGAAAGCAAGAGATTATTCTTATTATTTAAACGTTATTTCTTCCGAGAAAGCGCTCTTGGTAAATGAGCATTTTGGCGCCTCCGTAGCTAGTTCTATTTGGGACGCGATAGTTCGGTCTCCTGCTTGCAGACCTGTGCAGAAGTAAATACTTAGTTATTGCTCCGAGGGAGAAAGGCAGTTGCCTGAAAAGTTTCTTGCTAAGAGAAAGGCCATCCTTCGAATGTTCCATTAGCTGGGTCCCGGGCTGCTCTTGTACCAGCGTGGCCCCGCGGGGGTGGGGTGCGAGTGGGTGGTGTGGGGGGGGGGGGGGGGAGAGGCATAATTTCTGCAGAGAAAAATTTCAGCGCGGCGGCCCGCAGATAAACAAGGCCCTCTATTTTGTTTTGTAAGAAGGATGATTATTACTTGTGGCCTGATCAATGGACATAATTTCTAAGCAGCCCGTGGCAGATGCGCGCGAGCTTTTGCGCCCAGCTGCCAACTGGCTAGGTTCAATAGCGAAACGGACCCCGTAGACGCCTCTGGCGGAGCCGAGAGAGGAGCCAGGCCTCCCCAGCTCAGGGAGAGAGGGCCGGGCCCTCCGGAAGGGTAAGTTCCCCGCCTAGGCGCTCAGGCAGAGCCGGACGTCTGAGTCTGGACTTGCCCCCGGCCTTGGGGGTTCAATCCCGGGAGTCGCGCGCGCCCGGCCCCCACAGCTTTCGGAAGCATGGCCTGGCTCCAGGCCCGGTCCGTCCGGGGCTGGAGCGGCAGCGAACTCTGCAGGAACGCAGTCGGCGGAGCAGCCTCCGGAGCCAAGGTCAGGCCCGCGGGGAGAGTGGGCGGTGGCTTCCAGCTCCGGCAACGGGCGCGCGGGCCGTCACGACCGCAGCCCCGGCCGCTTCCAGTGAGCGGAACCCGCGTCCCTCCCCTCGGCCAGGCCGCAGCGGCTTCCCTGAGCTTCGCTTTCGTTTCCCAAGTTATTAATAATGATCTTTTCCCCATTCTGAGGCTTGTTCGAAGCAGTGTTTGCTCCCAGATGCCAAGAATACAACTCGAAATCCTTCTCCCGAAGTCTCGAGATGAGCTCCGATTTGACCTCTGGGCTGAGAGGGCCCGGAAGCGGAGGCTGCCGCCCAGCCGGGGCTGGAAGGGGAAGGCAAGACTCGAGCTGGGGGAGTTCCTCTCCGCCGGGCTCCCCTCGCATCCCCTGCATGGCCCCGCAACGGCCCGGCCCGGCTGGCAAAGGCGTCCACTAGCCCGGCATCCCAGACCCGCTTTCCCAGGCCCTCCGGAGCCCGCACTGGGGACGAAATAAACTAAAGACCTCAACTAGATTTGAGTATCCCCATTCTTTCCCCTAATCATTTGGTAATAAACTCCAGAGCCGACCGCAACGCACAACCTCCCTTCCATTTTGGGGGTGCACTGGCGCTCCCCCAACCTGCTCCCAGCTCGATTTTCTCCTCCCATGTATTTTTCTTTCTTTAGAAAATCCCGGCCCGAATTTTGACACTACAATGGACCGGGGAGCAGAAAAGTAGGAATATTGAAGAAGTCGAAACAAAACAAAAGCAAGGGACACTTGCCGTTGATCTTTTCTCATTCATTTTTCCTTTGTTTTTTTTTTTTTTAAACAAAGTCGCGCCCAAAACTATCATATTTCTTCCCTCTCAAAAGAAAGCTCGCTTAGAAAAGATTCCCTTTCCATTTCTCTCCCGAGGTGTGTCCGCCTGACCCGGGTCTCTACTGGGGGCGGAAAGTAGAGAGAAGTTCAGACGGGCCTGGGAAAATTAATAATAATTATAATAACAATAAAAATGATGAAAAAAATGAACTTTGACCAACTCAGTTTGTAAGAGAGAGTCAGTCCGAGGGTGGGAAGTTCCCTCGTTTCTCAGGGGTCAGTTTCCCTCTTGCCTAGTTAAATCTCGTTCTTTCTTTCCAAGGCCACAACATATCCTTTCCCAATGTTTTATTCAGCTCCTAGTTTTTCCCCTTTTGACCGGAAGTATCTGCGAGGAGTGTTGGCTGTTACCGTTATTATTATGTCAATATCCAACGTTCTCTAATATTTCCACCAAGAATTATTGCTGCTATCCTTACTCATGTTGGTGGTGTTTCATGTGTTTTGGAAATACTCCTCTCCCCTCCCCAAGTCTGGTGGGTGAGATGTTTTTCCTTGGCGGGGCTAATGAAATTTGGAAGAGGGAGTCTGGCTTTAGAGGCCCCCCTGATACCAACGCTGGGCCTTTGCAAACTCCAAAAAAGCAGAAATGGCACAGCAAGGGGTGTTTGGAACGCAAAGGGGCCATTGTTCATGCCCCCTCCAATTCCAGTGGAAGAGCAGGGTGAGGGATTTAGGATGAGAGAACCTGGGGCTGCCTCTTATCCCACCAGCCTACAAACGCCAACCAGATCTGCAGCCCAGAACCCACGAACGGCCTAGGGCACAGTCACCACGTCTACACCGTCAGCGTTTGTCCCGCATCCACAAAAGGTGTGGGGGGAAAAATACAGCGAATTCCAGGACTCTGCCTCTGTATAATACAGACTTAAGCTAATACCTCCAGTCTGGGTGCAGGCGGGGGCCTGTCTGGACACCCCTCCCTCAACTCAAGGGTGCGATGGAAACTTGGGAGCCCGCTGCTCTCCGGGGCTCTGGAAAGACAAATTTTCTTTGGCAAAGGGAACGGTGTCGTGCTGTCGACACGGCTATTTTTCTTGTTCCCTCACACAGGGAGGGAGGGGGGAAAAAAGAAAAGAAAGCAAGGGAAATTAAATCCACACTTGCTAAGCCCGCTCAAAGGGCCAGATTCAAAACCAGAGGCGAAACTGCGACCCCAGTTCGGCTGCACGGGCCCCTTTCCAGCTTGCGTGACCACGCAGAGAAAGGTGTCCCGACAGGAGAGAATTCGATCCAATGTTTCATAAAGGCTTTATTTAAGGGGGGAGGGATGATGTTTTCTCCGGGAATCTACACCAGAGAGATTCAGACGGCCTAGCAGCACAGGGAACAAAGGAGATAGCAATTGTGAGAATAATGACTCCCTTAAATGAACTCAAGTTGGTATCTCCTAAATCAACCCAATCATGCAGGCAACTTTCACCCTAGGGCCAAGTGAACCAGGCCTGTAATTCTGGAAGTTCCTAAGGTCTGGCCAGGCTTCCGGACTTGGGCCGCCTACCTGGGTCAAGAGAACTCAAAAAAGCTGTATTGACGCTGGAATGGCCAACCTAATCTGCATGGCAAACCCAGCGTCCTTCCCTCCTTTCTTACCTGCTTCTAGGGAAACTTTCTGAAAGGTGCCCCCAGCCCCCAGCTGCAGAGGAGGTCTGCACAGTTTAGGGGAGGGGGTGTAGGAGGCCACCCTGCCTGGAGCTGTGAGTGAAAACTCTAGTAATGACCTTGAGGAGGTGAAGGGAGGCGGGTGGGGATGCGGGCGACGAGCGCCGCCAAACCCCAAACTGGAAGGATCCGTCACCGAAACGATTGCTTGGTCGAGACCCATAATTTTTCTTCCCCTTCAGCCAGGGCCGAGAGCGCCCAGCCGGGCTCCTTTGGCCTCCTGGCGCTGGGTTTCCGGCCTTTTGGAGAGCAGCTGTGACAGAAGGACCCGGAGGCGGGGACCCGGTACGCCTGGCTCCCTCGCCACAATCACACCCGGAAGACCCGGGCGAAACTGACAGGGGCTCGCGGTGGAAAAGTTCCTGGCGATGGTTTCCGCGGGGGCCCTCGATTTCCTAGTCACCATGGTAACTCCGGAGTCACATCGGACGCTCTCAACAATGGGCGCCCAGAGGACAGTAATTGAGCACGTTTGCGCGCGTTCGGCGGCCCGAAGGGCGCTTTCCGGAGCCTCCCGTGTGGGTTCAGCCCGGCAGGGACTTTAATAACCACCCTCCCTTTAAAGGAGCCCTGGCGGCGCAGTGGTTAAGAGCTCGGCTGCTAACAAAAGGTCAGCAGTTCTAATCCACCAGCCACTCCTTGGAAACCCTATTGGGCAATTCTACTCTGTAGGGTCTATAGGGTCGCTATGAATCGGAATCAACTCCACCGCAACGAGTTTGGTTTTGTTTTCTCCCTTTAAACAGAGGAGAAAACCGAAGCTTGGCCGGGTAGATTTCGGTCTTGAGCAAAAGCCCGCTTTTGAGTTCAGAGAAGTGACCCCGAGCCCCTTGGGCGCAGCCTACATCCTGAACATCTCAGCCCCGGGCCTGGGATTTGAGAGTCGTCGGGTCTTTTCACATCTACTCACCATCCTCATCGGAGCCTCCTGCGTCCCTCCACGCAACCCTTTCTCTTGCCTAGAGTCACTTCTCTTAAACAGAAGGAAGGAAGTCGGGACTAGAAATTGTAGCATTGCTGTTTGCAAAGTCTCATTGAGGGAATGAATAAATTATACTCCTTTTTCTTTTAGAGAAATATTTTTTCGATGGTGTATGTAAAATAAATAACCTTAAAAAATGTTAGTATTTCTTGGTTGCACTGCTTTCTTCTTCAACTTGCATGGGAAAATAGTGCCCCTCTTTTTAGGGGAGTGGGCAGTGGACATGCAGATGACTTTCCTGTTTGCAGCTAGCAGGCAGCAAAGTCAGACCCCAGCTGCTGCAAGGAAAGAAGTGTTTGCCCAGTGTTACCCTGCTCGGTCTGCCCAGCTCTGTGGAGACAGAGGGAGCCAGAGAGAGCGGGCCAGTGGAGACAGGGGGTCCAGGCCTGGGGGTGAGATTTGGCCAGGATGGCAGCAACTCTTCTGCAGTCCTCTAAGACCTGAGACCACCGACCCCACCCGTCTCCCAGCTGGTCAGGAAAGACCACACTTTGCTTCACTTCTCCCTTTTCAAAGGCCCATCCAATGTCCCCCAGAGCTCCTGGCTGGCGGTGCACTGCCCCACCCACCCCTATCCTGTCCAGAGGCATCCTGGAGAGATTCCCTTCCCGTTCCCAAGCCCCATCTTCTTCCCTCTCCACAATTTTGCATTAGTATTTTCAAGAGAGCCCTACTTGTGTCTGTACAGCCACAAAGAAAC